AATGACTTGCTCATAAGCAGCATAAATGGGAATAGAAATCAGGGCTGGGATTCTTTGCTGCACTACAGAACTCGCAGCCCAGGGGAAAGAGCTAACATGGCCCTAAATTACCATATTTATTCAAATATAAGGTGTCCCTGATTATAAGACGGGGTGGGTAAAATGAGGCCTGGGGGCCGGATGTGGCCCACCAGGCCATTCTATCCAGCCTGCAGGGCCCCTAAAAATTTTAGAAAATTAATATTTATCTGCCCCTGGCGGCCTATCATGCAGCCCTCGATGGCTTGCCAAAACTGAGAAAGCGGCACTCTGCCCAAAATAATTGCTTCCCCCCGTTATAAGATGACCCCAATAATTAGGTTATGTATATGGAAAATGTATACATTTGTTATATTTTTTTAGGTATGTAATCTAATTATTGGAGGCTTGCTTTGAATTTGTCTCCCTACTACTCCCATAGCAGGGAAAATAAATCTAGGGGGTCAGGTAATCCTTTTGCTCTCTGCTTTTTCCCAACCTCTTCACTCTGCAGCCCCTTATTGTCAGACCCTGCCCCCTCTGAGAACATGGAAGCGAGAAGCAAATTTGAAAACACTGCCCTTAAAATAAACACAGCTGTAGTAATATGCATATAGTATCCATAGACTTAGTGCCCACCATCCAGAATTGATGCATGTTACATTTTTTAAACTGCCACAATTTTAGCACAGGTACTCCTTAAACACAGTTTTAAGTAGCACTTTGGCTCCTACTTATATATAGTACAAACTATACTTTTAAAAAAAATGTTTTTGCGGGGCCAAATCAGCTCCAGATTAAATTCCAAATTTTGACTCAGCAGAACTGAGTAATTCAAGTCTGTATAGCACTACTGCTGGCAAGTATCATAGTCTCATAGTTGGTAGGGCTGGAAGGGACCTGAGCTGATCATCAAGTCCGACCCCCTGCCATGGGCAGGAAAGAGTACTGGGGTCAAACGACCCCAGCAAGGTGATTATCTAGCCTGCTTTTGAAGACCCCCAGGGTAGCACCACTTCCCTTGCAAGTTGGCTCCAGCTCTGAGCCGCCCTGACTGTGAAGTAGTGCCTCCTGATAGCTAGCCTGAATTTACTCTCCATCAACTTATGGCCATTATTCCTTGTTAATCCCGGTAGTGCTTGGGGGAACAGGGACTCTCCCATTGCCTGCTGGTCTCCCTTAGCCAGTTTATAGACGGCCACCAGATCCCCTCTCAGCCTTCTCTTGTGGAGGCTGAACAGGTTCAGGTCTTGTAGCCTCTCCTCGTAGGGCCTGCCCTGCTGCCCCTGATCATGCAAGTGGCCCTCCTCTGGACCCTCCTCCACATCCCTCCTGAAGTGCGGTGCCCAGAACTGGACGCAGTACTCCAGCTGCGGCCTGACCAATGTCATACAGAGGAGGAGGATCACCTTCTTGGATCTGCTCGTGATGCATCTGTGGGTGCATGACAAGGTGCAGTTAGCCTTCCTGACTACATCCCCACATTGGCGGCCCATGTTCATCTTGGAGTCTATAATGACTGATGCTGGTCATGGTATCTCCTCTTTTTTTTTAATTAAATGTTGTGTTTCCAGCCAAATTAGCCAAATCTATTCCAAATTCCATCCACTGAGCAGAACTCAGTCTTTCAAGTCTATGTGGTGCTACTACCAGCAAGTATCTTACCTCCTAGACTCTTCAGCCTGGGCCTTTTGTTACTCCCAAATCCATGTCAGGCATCCTATATGCAGGCCCAAGCCCAGAGGTCTTGGGGTATGGATACCCCTGAGTCTCACTTGCCTTTCACCAACAGGCGAAGGGAGCAAGCTGGGGAGAAATTCCCCATCTCCACACAATATGCATGTGGCTGAGATCCTCCCATTGGGAGGCTATAGTAGACTCTTATAGGGGGGCCTGCCTGCACTACACAATGCCACTCAAGGTGTTCTGACCTCTGTGAGGAGCTACCTTCATGGTATCTCCCCTGCCAGGTAAACTATACATGATATTAGTTCAAAGCCAAAAGGCTCAGAATTTACCACGTAGTTAACTGGATGGGGCCTTACCAGGGACAACAGCATTTCAAGCCTTGGTGCCCCCATAGCTCAGCACTGCTCAGTATGCATGTACTCCAGATAACCCTTACAAAGGATCCACGTGCTAATTAGCCTCCTACTCATGGCTGGAACTGGGTGTTTCTTTACGAGTCCTAGGAACCTCAACAAAAATTATATGCAGATGAGGCACAGTGCAACCTGGTGCGACTCCATCTCATGGAAGATGGGGCCACACTAATCATATGTGACGGGTTGAGAGAGTGGGTGCCAGAAGAGCAGCAGGAGGATTCTAGCTGCATCACTGATGGGGGAGACAGGATAAACAGAGCCCAGAAGATGGGCTTGGACAGATCCTCCAGGCTGCTGAAGCAGCTTGTCAGTGACCATGGTCTGGGGGATGCGGGCACAGGAGCCCAGGGCCCCAGGGAGAACTTCATTTGGGTAGACCTCATTGGGCAAACAAAATTGGGCATAGACTTTGCTTTCCTCCCTGAGGGGTGATAAGCAGTGAAAGCTAAATCCTTACCCATCTGCTTCTTGGACCATTGTCTCCTAACAGTAAAGGCAGAGATAGGAGGTGTTGGGGCCACAAGGCAGTGTGCCAGCTGGCCTTTTTGATAGTTTGAACTTGCTCAGACTACCCGGAAGCTGGAAGGTTTTGGAGTTGCTGAACTCCTCACCTCTGAGAGGGGTTGATCTACTTTCAAGGTATGAGCATGCCTGGGTAAGGCCTCAGTTAAGGCAGGAAAGCCTCTGAGGTAAATTAAAATTGTTACTTTTAAGTGAAAGTTAGATGTCATGTGCACATTAGCGTGCTGGGTGAAAGAGACATGAGTGATGTTTGTGTGCACAACAGGCTGATTGGTTGGTTGGGCAATTGGCAGGTGTCAGTCACCTTTGTGGATAAAAAAGGCCAGATTGGGTGGATCTGAGCTGTCTGTGTGTGTGGGGTTGATAGGTGAAGACAGGTGAATGAGTGTGGACCTGAGAGGTCAGTCTCTTCCCTGTGTTTGGAGCAGCAGGAGTCTTGACGATGAGAGACTGATGGAGAGTTGTATGAGTCTGGAATGTGGACACAGGCTGAGTGAGGGTCCAGGGGACGGAACCTGTCTGTGAGCTGCATGGTTCAGAGTGCATATTGGATGCACAAGGTGAGGGGTCCGGGGACCAAAAGCCTTGTAGAGTGAGTGAACAGTGTGTATAAGTGCTGTGGAGAGAGAGGACAAGAGCAGGATTCCTCGCTAGTGCCTGCACTGTTGGATTGTTTGGTTGATATTGTTGCCTGTCTGCTTTGCTGTTATATTGCTATAAAGTATATTGATATGTATATAGTATTGTATAGTATAGCATTTGAATAATTTGCATATTTGATTAATTCTGTAGTGATGAATTAATTAAATAAACATGCAAATTATTCCAATTAAGCCTAGTCCACCCAGGGATGCCAACTGTTAATCACGGGTATGCAAATTAGCTAATTAATTAATCAACATGGCCATACCATAAATGAAAGGGGTGGGGGCTTATTCTCACCGGCTCTAGGTAGACAGCTTGACCCTAAGCTGATGCCATAATAATACCACACAAATAGGGGGGCAATTATATATATATATATTATTTAACAAGCATCAACAATCAACACTAACAACAATACTATATACATATCAAATATACCCAAGAGCACCATAACAGCAAAGGAGACCAGCAACAATATCAAGAAAACAATTCAACAGTGAGGGCGCTAGCAAGCAATTGTGCTTTCTCCCCCTCTCGCCACAGCACTCACACATGCTGTTCACTCGCGTCACCCACTCACACCACAAGGAGCTCCTGCAGGTGGCCGCGGCAGTGTTGGCAGTGGGGGGGGAGGTTGGTTAGCACCGACCAGTGGTCAGTGACCACCTGCAGATACTGCTGGCAGTGTTGCCAGTGAGGAGGCAGGGAGATTGGTGAGCGGCGACCATAGCAATCTCAGGGGGGTATGCGCCCGCATGCACCTCTTATGCATCGCCAATGTAACGAGGGCTGTCTTGCATCAGGCTGGTAGGAAGCGAGCCTGGAGACAGAGGAGGCACCACAAATGCCTAAACTGCAAGTTACAGAGCCTGCACAGGGAGGTATCTGTGATTTGGGATGTGAAAGTGGCCATACAGGAGGTTAAAGCCCAGATCAGGGCTTGATACAGGGAACAGGCTAGGAAGATCTTCCCAGCCCAGGTCCTCTGGGTGGAGGAGAGGAGCAGTGGTCTGATTAATTTAGCAGGTTAAAGAAGATCAAGAGGGAGGCCATGACCAACTTGGTAGACACAGTGGGTGTGGAGCACTGGTCAAATGAGGGGATGCTGGAGATGGTGGTAGCCTTCTGCTGGGAAATCTACACTGTGTACCCAGAGGACCCAGATACTTTGCAGGAATACCTGCAGGAGCTCACCTGAGTCTTCAGGGAAGGCAAGAATCAGAAACTGGTGGAGGAGTGGACACTGGAGTAGATCAGCAAAATCCTTCACAGTTTCAAGAACAGTAAGACTCCTGGGACAGATGGCCTATCCAAGCAGTTTTATGTGATGTTCTGGGACCAGGAGGTCTCTGACTTGTGGGAGGTGCATGGAGAGTGGATGCAGGAGGGCCACCTGGGGAAGGAATGGAGCAGGACCTCATAAACCTTCTTTACAAGAAGAGAGAGAAGAGAAATTTGAAAAAATTGGCGACATATAACACTCCTGAACTTTGACTACAAACTGATGGCCAAAGCCTTGGCTGAGTGCTTTAAGTCTGTCATAGGTGCAGTGATCCTTGACAACCAGTTGTATACAGTGCTGGGATGATGGATCCACAGAGCCGTGCTGTAGATGTGAGATGCACTGTAGTACCAATGGGAGAGGGGACTGGTCATCTCTGTGCTGAACCTCTACCTAGAGAAGGCTTTTGATAGCTTGTCCCATGGATTCCTCCTTGAGATGCTGAAGAAGATGGGGTCCCCCCGACCTTCCTCACCTGGATAAAAATGCTGTACACTGATGTCAACAGCAAGGAGCTGGTGAACAGGCTCCTGACTGCCCTGATCATGGTGGAGTTGGGTGTCTGCCAGGGTTGACTGCTCTCCCCAGTCCTTGTCATCTGTGTGATGGAATTGCTAGCCCAGCAGCCCAGGTGAGACCCTGGGATCCTTGGAGTGGAGATCCCTGGGGGCA